CGTGACGGTGATGGATTTTGAATGAAGAACTCGTCACGCTATTATCAACGAGTGTATATTCAACAATATCATCAACGTCGTCATCAATTGCAGACAACCATTAGTAATGCTTCACCCTTCGCGAGCTCCCGATGAGACTGACACTGAGTATCTGGAAAAGACGAGATAGCCTCAAGCAATTGCCAAATTCAGAAAGTACACAATGATTTGATGATGGAAAAAATTTTCGAATAGTTTTTTAAAAACTGCGTAACTCTTGGAAATCTCAAAAGTGAACCCACTTTGGGACAACAAATACTGGAGCGCAGTCGTTCTCATCAATGACATTCACTGTCAGCGTGCTGAAAGCACGTCGACCCAGGGCATCTTCTACTACAAGTGGAACTCTAAAAACTTTTCCACATGAGTTTCTCGAACTGATTTATAACGTAATGTGTTGCATTTAGTAGTTTTATGTCTCTCACACATACTTATAAGCATTTTGGCTTTGATAATTGAACACGATCTTCGGATGGATTCTTCCAGTCAGTTTTTCAATTCGTAGAGGTCGCATTCGGCTTTCCCCACTACCAATCGAATAGTGTAGAGGCGCTACACCATCACGAGCTTGCACAGTGAGAATGGAAGTCTTGTTGGTCAAAGCACTAGATTGAAGAAAACTTTCAGCGTATCCGTGGAATATAAAAGTGAACTTGAGAAAAATTCCATACTTATAAACATGCTGTAGTCTTATTAAAATGCTACATCTGATAGGAAATTGTAGAACAACTCAAAATACTGCTTCTTACTTGTTTTCGCGTACTGCAACAACATACTGGCTTTGCTCAAATCGTGGAGGAGCCTGCCTTCGTCCAGAAACTGTTATGGAAACCGTTAATTGCCCGTAGGCGGTGAACAATCCGTCAGACACCGACACGTTTAGAATCTTCTTTCCATCATTCATTATAACATCATCAGTGTCAACAGGACGGAGTAGTGTCACTTCACCGCTATTCTCCGAAACGGAGAACAATGTCTCGTCACCTTCAATAATCGAATAGAGGAGTCGATGACCGTCTTGGATGGAGGATACGGTGTCCTAAATTAGATCAAAACAGCGATGACTAAGAGTAACAGACAAGATTTAAATTCTTTTGTTAACTAAGAACTTGAGTAATGAAATGACGAGCTTCATCATGATACTCAGTCTAAAGTTTTTGACTCTTTCAAATCATATATGGACAGCGACGTACATCATCTGTCACGCTCATTATGGCTACGAATTGTCCTGAAGTTGCTGTGTCGGAAATCACTGCTGAGGCAATCGCAGTAGAAAAACGTGGTGCTTCATCATTCACGTCTTCAACCTAGAGATCGAATCAATATTAGAAAGTTGAAACTACACTGGCGTGTTTAAGTCGTTAAGACATAATACCGACCGTTAGTACAAGCTTCGATTCCCCGCTAAGCTGTGACTCGTCAGCGGCTACAACCGTGACTTCGTAATATTGTTTTTTCTCATAGTCTAGCAGTTGTGCTAAAGTGACCACTCCGCTTGTAGAATCCACATGAACAACTGAAAAAGCCATCTCACAAAAGTGTCTGATGATAAGATCTATTCAGTGCACCATAAAGTAACAAGATACACTCACTAGAAGAATCACGTCCACTAAGGGCGTAGCTAATAAGCCCGTTACCACTGTCAGGATCTATAGCTTTTACGGTCAACAGCTTGCTACCAACTGGAGCCGACTCACTTACATTTACGTGATACATAGAATGTTCGAATCGAGGTCCATTGTCGTTAATTCCAGTGATCTGAAAACAACAATATGAGACAAAAGTCAATGTCAAGGGAACTGAAATAAAACTCAGAAGAGGTTGTCACATTTCGTGGAAACAGGTGTTTCATTTGTATCGATGAAAAGTATTTAGTCCAAGCCTCAAATCTCTTTATTAAGTCGTGAGAGATTGAATCAAATCTTATCATCTTCTCCTTAACCTCACAATCATCTCCCCCCCCCCCCCCCCCATTATTCCAGTCTGATCCCTAGCAATCAATGATCCACACATTGTCTACGGCTATAAACTTTTCTCTGAATTCTTCTCTTCAACTGCCCTCATACGACCAGCCTGTATAATTTCAACACTTTTCATTTGAATAACCGATGTTGTCTTGCGTTTCTTCAAGCCCCTATGAGTATTGCAGAGTTTGCGACGTGATTGACATATCAACCATGTCTCAGCTCCTCATAGGCTGAGAGTACTTTGCAATTTGGGCAATTAATGTAGATCTAAGTTCTCTATAAACCCTGATCAAAAAGATGGATATGGAGCTTTACATTCCTCTTAGAACTTTTTTCCTCTAAACATACAACATTTAGTGTCAGAAGATAGCTACACTAAAGAAAACGCCCACCTCAATGCATACATCAGTCGTCGAATTCAAAAGATTTCGGGTCACATCTCTTGCCATTACTGTTAAATTGTACACGGCCATTTCTTCTGCGTCCAAACTCTCCATTAACACTGATCACACCTTTACAAGGAACAGTTATATGGAAACATCTTACAGATGAGAAAAAAAAGTACCTGTATCCATATCAATAACAAAAAGGTTGTCATCATTCCCACTTTCAACGGTGTAAATCAAGTGGCCTCCGACATTACTGGACGCTTTTACTTTCGTTACCTTGAACAAGTAGATAATCGTAAGAATATATGTTAAGAAGAAACCTTAGAAAACTTGCTGTAAAATTACTTCCCGCCTAAAAGTAATAAAGGGGAGTCACCACTGTTTTCTTCTTTGATCCTTCAGAAACACTAGCGTAGTATTGCCTCTTGGTGAAAATTGGCCGTGCTCTCTCAACCACATGAACGCTCACTTCTTTGATTGCCTTTAGCACGGGAGTCCCTTCAAAGATATCAAGTATATTAATTCTGAGGCAAGAGTATTTTGCAACTTTGTGACTGAGATCGTCTTCTGATCGTACAAGTAATTAGAGAATACCTTGGTCCATTGCGATGACTTCAAAGCGATACACTAAAGACGCATCCAATCTCCCATTCACGGTAATCTTTCCATCATGCTTATTTAGCTTAAACACAGATGGAAGAGACGGACTTTGGTAACGGACAATTCCATTCATTCCTGAATAGTAGCATTTGCTGTTTTCGGCTTCACTCCCCGGTGATATGGAGAATTACGCATGTGATTTCTAAGGCGTACGAACCTATATCGCGATCGATTGCCTTAACTGAAAGTATCTTCTCTCCTACAGCTGAATCAGAGCTGACAACCACATCATATGGCAATCCAACGAATACAGGAGTACAATCGTTGACGTCGTCTACACGGATGGAAACGATACACTGAGCTAACTGTGGCTTGATCTCATGAGTACGAGCCTAAAGAAATCGACACTACCGTTCGTGTAACGTTCGATAAATTCAAATTTCATGAGGATGAGAAAATTTTGAATGAAGCACGGATAATTACGTTGGAATTCGAAGTACCAAATATTTAAATGTGATCAATTTGATGGAAAGTCGTTGAGAATAATGAAATGAGAAACCTTATAAGCTTCGTTTCGGTATACTGCACGTGGAGTTCCCACTGTATAAATAAGAACTCACTTTGAAACTAGATACAGTAAGAATATAAGAAATTTCTTATAACCTGAACCAGTAAGCGAACGACCGACTCTTCCTCTCTATCGAATCTTTTTCCTGTGAGAGCGATAAGCCCCGTACCAGCATGTATAAAGACCTCTTCACGTTCGTTCAAAATACTGTAGGTGACACTTACGCCTTCCGGAGCACCAATAGCAGTGACCTTGAAAAAATAGGATGCAAATTGAAATTTTGAGAAAACTTGCAGAGAAAAAGAAACTGGCAAAAGAAATCAATGATAGCAAGTATGGGAAACTGTTCAATTAACTAGAAAATGCCGAAGAAATTTTGCAAATGAAGAATAAGTCACATCTGAGGACGAAACTAACTGCAAAACTGACTACAAAAGAAGTCTCTTTTCTCCTTCGGCGGCAGAAAATCAAACCAGCGAACACACTTGTGATTCAGAACTCCAATCATGCTTCACTTATAGCTCATATTCAAATGAAATTCTATCGCCATTAAGAACTCACAGCCAAAAGTGACTCTCCAGCAGGATACGTTGTGTTCTCTTTCACACTGGTATTGTATTCAATCTGTGAAAATCGAAAATCGTTTGTATCAGCAGGTGGATTACGGATATTTATTCGCACAGAGGCCGTCGATGTGTGAACGCCGTCAGATGCAAGAACATCCATCTGGAAGCGGCACTCTAACGCTCACAAAAACGAACGAACGACAAGTTTGAAAATAGGGAAACCGGAAGTGCATTCAAAATAAATCAAGATTAGTAAAGGTTAAAAAGCGCATTGTGCATAAAAATTTGATTTTCGAGGCTAGTAACCTACCTCATATTTGGTTTCATTCAAATGCTTCGGATTTGGTTGGATGAGAGTAATTGAACCATCAGTAGAGTTTATCGTAAACAGTTTTGAATGAACATCCTCCTTAAAGATCAAGAAAGATTTTCACCACGCAATTTTAATTTCGTCTTCTGTACTCTCCAAGTGCGGTTTCCCTCGGGCAATGTATTACGATAGCAAAAGCTTTATTCCAATACGAGGTCCCCAAGATTATCGAAATTGGAAGAGATCATTCGAATAGTAACTTGGCTAAAAACTCAAAACATACCTTGATGGTATACCTCAACTTTCCTACAGTGTCGTCGTCTACAGCTGATGGTTTCGCCACCACAATGCCGGCAACAACTGGTAAAAGTAGGTTGACTTCATAAGTGGACTTAGTGAAGACGGGTTTCCGATCGTTAACGTCCAGCACAGACACGATTACCATAGCTGGAATCGGTGACGAAAGTCTCGGCTCTCCCATGTCACTAAAATCACAGAAACTTATTGTAAACTCAACGATCCACTCTACATACAAGGATGCTGAATGATATACAAAACTCTTGACTTCGGCAGGAGTTGAACCCGCACTTCACCCATGCCGGGGCCACGTGTTTCCACTACAACACCGAGGCCACCGCTCTGCTACCACTCTCGCCCGAATTAAAGCATAGCAGCTGACCAGCAACTCACTTTCACTTTCAGTTCACTTTCTCATCATAACCAGCACACTTTTTGCAAAGTTCTTCAAACAAAAAGAAACCGAAGCTCTTACATGACTGAGTTACTTCGTGTAGTTGACACTTTGAGTTTGAAGCTGTATTGTCAATAACTGTTCATAAATTTACCCTCTGAGAACTTGATATACACATAAAGAAACGTACTGTTCAAGGGTGATTGAGAATGTAAAAAAAAACGTCATTTTAGTCCAAAAGTCACTTCTTGACATTTCTAGTCTCAAAATTTCTAGAAAAAAACGACATTTTAATCTTTAGAGTTGTTTATATTATACCAGCAGCTGTGAACATCGATGATGCATTCAGAGACATCGCCACAATCATCCGAACGAGAGGTAACGCTTTTTCTATTTCGTTAGTCTTCGAAATCCGACATCAATAAAAAAATCGACTCGTAATTACTATTTGGGCCAACATGTCACGTGGTCTGCTAAATAGGCTAACTCAGATAGCCCTATACACGTGTTTCGACCTTGACGGTCTTGACAGCCCGGCGGTACCCTTCGTCTTTAGCCACTCGTCTCGGGGGCTCGGTCTCCTATACTAAGAGTAGGCGACGACGAACAAAAATGAAACCGTCAACGTCGAAACAAATGCATTGGGTTCTATAAGTCGGCTCATTTAACAGACCACATGACATGTTGGCTCAAATAATAATTACGAGATGTATTGAAATTTGTAAAAAATCGATTTCTGATTTTGAAAAATCATAAATTCATAATAGTACAAGAGCAAGACATCTATCTTATTAGCAAAAATGTGTGGATTTTAACAATTTCTTCTTTCATTACGATACGAGATATTTTGGCTCAAAATTGAAAGTGGTTTTCGAATCGTATGAGTGGAAATGCCAAAACATAACATGAGTGAGATGATAACAGTGGCTGATAAGTCAAAAATGTTAGTAAATTCGTGACGATGGTGGTATTTGCTAAAGCTAATCATTTTTCCGAAAGCTAAAGCACTTGTGGAATTGGTAGAATTAGAGATTATAAAATAGACTGCGTCCTATCGTCCAACATTGTATACATACATATATTCATATACGTATATATACACTTACATATAGTATGTATATATATATATATATGTATACATATGTAAACATATATGTACATATACATACTTATGCACATATATGCATATATATCTACATATCTATTTACTTATTCACATATGAATATGCACATTTCTCCATCTCAAATTTGCTAAGATTTGATTTGAAAATCTATCAAAATATCAACATTTACGCACATGCAAACATCAACGGTGTATTCAGCAATCAAAGATCATGTCTTGACGGACCATAGTCAGCGTGACTAACGAAAAAAAAAGCTACTACTTCTCAGTTCAAAACTGATACACCGCCAGTAAAAAGTAATAATTTTATATATTATTGATAATCAGTTGAAATTTTTTACGGGTCTATGCGGCAATAAGTAAAGATCGTTGCCAGATAAGTTGCGCCTCAAAATCAAATAGGAAAGTATTATTGATCATGTACGAGTAACAATGACTCCTATTGTAAATATGTATGTCTGAATGCATCATTTTCAATAGAACTTACTGATTTTTACAAAACTATAGCAGGTTTTAATTTAATCAAACTTTTCTAATCAAGTTAATACGGACTGAAGGAAACGATAAAGTAAGAGAATAAGCCAGACCTGGCCTGGAACGTAGAATATCCACTCCTTGGTCTTCTCGTAATCTAATGGCTTTCTCGATCTAATAGCTCCCGTCACAAAATCAACAACGAAGTACGGCTCATTGGGATTAAGAAGTCGATAACCGATCAGAGAGTTAGGACCGATATCCTTATCCGTAGCCGAAACCAATAAAGGAGAACTATTCGCCAGAAACACAGACGAGCCTTCAACAGCAGAAAATTTGAAAATGAAGAAAAAGAGGATAGATAAGTTCTGAGGTAAAGCTTTAACATTCCGATTCGCATACACGATTGATGTGCATCGAGAACGACAAAAAATCTTTTGTGCAGGAATTCAAGAAAACAAAACAAATACAACTAACCACTTGGACTGTTTTCCCTTATGAAACCGCGATAGACTTGTTGCTTAAATATCGGCGCATTCTGATTTGTGCTTGTCACTTTTACTACAATCTAAAAATCGATTTGAAAAAGCTTCAGAAATTATTCAGCAGATACCTCAACCTCTTTTTACGTACAACAGGTTCTTAATCCCAAAGAAAATAGGTAATAAATCCGTTCGCTGTAAGCCAAACACAAGTGTTTTTATATAACAATCTGTTCTCCTAGACGACGTTTCGGCAATTCCGCCTTCCTTAGATTCTGGAAAGATGAAGTTGTCCATAATCGAGTCAACCTAACACCTTCGTTATTTCAATAGTGAAATCATTAGACTTAAATTTTAATCGTGTCGAGCGCAAAACAACTTTCTAACATACTCACCACTTCTTTTGAGTCTTACGAGTAAAGCATCTCCTACATTAGAAACAGCACTCATCTAAACTGCCTCATATCACGCGTGATAACGGATATCCATCTGCGGTCCACGTTTGGATTTTTAGCGTTTATCCAAAATGTTTTTGAGATTATGCACAGTGAGATTTTATGTTACTGTGTTTCGTGATCACACGTGATAAGAGACAGAATATAGGACTGCTATTTTGATGTGGGGCATAAGCTTCACAGTTCCATGTGATCTCTGCACGGTTGATCTCCACTTGGACACCTTAGTGGAAGAGAGATGCTTTGCTGACTGGGTTGTAGGAAACCTTATCTTCCCAAATTCTAAAGAAGGTGAAACCGCCAAACATCAGCTTCAGAATAAAAAATGTTTCATAGAACCTTGTGTTTGACTTCCAAAAAAAAACTGAAAATTATTGAAATCACGAGGTTAACAGATAGTCGGTCATTGAAATTATAAGCGGCAAAATTTGATTTTGTTCTACTGTGACATTCGTTACTTCAAAAAAAGTCAGTACTAGAGAAGTAATTAATGGAACGAGATGACAGAGATTTAACGATGGGAATGCTGAATCTCTGCTTCTTGCGGAAACTCGCTGAACTTCTCCGCTTTTCATCGGTGATGTAAAGAGAAAATCAACCCAAGAGTATGAATAGGCTATCCGGACTGATCTTTAAAAGCATCGACCTCTAATAAGCTGTACATTTGAATCGAATAAGGTAGGATTGTGCTTATCGGGTTCTTTATCAAAGAAACTGAAAGGAATGAGTATTCAGAATCTACTCAATCTGCTTACTGAACTGTTCCGCTATCCGCTACTTTGAAAAGTCAAATCTACGAAAATTCAACGTGACAAGTAAATGGATGATATTGACGTTCAAGATATCTCGACAACCTGCGGTCACAAGTGTAATCAGAACTCTATGAAATATATTACCTCTCCTCTTTTATTCACGTTTCGAGTGCTTTCTTAAAACCACGGCTCAAATTTCAATATGCCAAATAATCATTTTTGAGCCACGCATATCATGTGGTCTATTAGAAAATGGGCTGACTTATAGAGCTTGATACATGTGTTTCGACTTTGCAGTCTCGTCAGTCAGGCAGTTATCCTTTCTCGTCTTTTGTCAGACCTTTGTGGGTGCTCCAGTCTCCACACTAAAAGTTAGCGAACGACGAACGTTTCACACTCTATGTCCAGTGAAATTATCACCGATCACAGAGTGTTGTACACTGACGAGACTGCAAGGTCGAAACACGTGTATCGGGCTCTATAAGTCAGCCTTTTTTCAAAAGGCCACGTGACATGCGTGGCTCAAAAATCATTATTTGGCACATTGAAATCTGAGCTGTGGTCTTAAGAATACACTCGAAACAAAAGATATGATAACTGAATACAGTAGCCACGAGAAATAGAGTGTTCAACACCTATGTTCGGTGATAATTGCACTGGACATAGAGTGTTAAAACGTTCGCGCCGTCGCTAACTCATAGTGTGGGGACTGGAGCACTCACACAGAATTGGCAGAGACGAGAAAAGATAACTGCCCTACTGACGAGACTGCAAGATCGAAACACGTGTATCAAGCTCTATAAGTCAGCCCTTTTTTTAAAGACCACATGACATGCGTGGCTCAAAAATGATATTTGGCACATGAAATTTCTGTCTCTACAACATTACCGCAGATAGCACGATACTCTACACTAATAGTCCATGTCTAAAGGAACGATCCATCGCCTTGAACAGCAAAAACAGAGTATTATTTTACTGTAAGCTCCCTCTGTTTAGAGCAATCCCTCTGACCAATGATTGTTGGCAGCCATCCAAAAGGTTAAAACATGGGTGAAAGAAAAGGCAGAGTGGGAGCCTTAATGGTTGAGTAGAAAGCTCAATAAGCTCTCGGAAGAGAGTAATCGCGGGTTCGAAGCCACTTCAGATCCTACGTTTTGCTCATGACTCACTTATGGTTGTTTGTGATGTACCTTATGTTCCATGCCGCATTTTATATATTGATGATTGATGGAATAAAGCTCCACGCTCTGCCTATATTCAAGTCAACACTTCCTTCTGATTAATGAATCGATTTCAATGCACCGATACGAATTGTGCCTATACAACAGAGTGAAGTCTCATGAAACATAACAAATATTCCTCAGAAAAACTAGAAAGCGAAGTCACAGCTCAAAATTAATTTCACATTTCTGTAACGTACTAGTCAAGTAGATAAAGGCGGGCAAGTCTTCGCGCGAATGATGACAATAGGCTGGGCTCACTATATGTACAGAGGTCATAAATTCAAAGAAAGGATGCAGCGTAGTTCTGCAGATGCGTCTACAGCGCGCCTTCAGCAACTGAAGTGAAGTACGAAATACTTCAGAAGATGTACTCTAACAAGATAGACAAGCGTCATTGGCTTGGATATGAAGACTTTGGATTATTCCGTACTCT